AAGCCACCAGAGGATGAGCTGTGGGTTGGTTCCGACTCCACAGTACTCAGCCACAACATATGGAATACAGTGGAATTCAACTTATATAATGGGAGTTCTGATTGCGTAGTGGGTAAAGAGTTCCAGTGCTAAACCAAAAGCAGGCAGTTTGAATCTACCAGGTGTTTCTCAGAAGCAAGATGAGCAGTCGCCTCCTGTGTGATTTACAGCCTCTGAAAACACATTGAAGGGTCAGCTATGAGTCCATTCTGACTTGATGGCAATGAGTAAGTAATGTGAAGTGCACAGAACAGGAAATAGAGGAACAAAACTTTTATCAGTGATCACCAGGGGCTGAGTGCAGTGAGGAATTGGGAATTATGTAGTTTTGGGTTAATGTTTAGGTGAGATATATCAAAATGGATCATGTTGATGATTGTATAGTGTGGTGAATGTGATGGATGTTATTGAATTATCTATATTAGATAGCTTGAAACAGCATTTAAAAATATAGTTTACAAACGGAGACTTGTCCACCAATGTTCACAGCAGTGTTATTCACCATCACAAGAACATGGAAACAGCCCAGCTGTCTAACCACAATGGAATGGATTGAGAAATTATTCTACATTCACACAATGGAATACTACGTAGCACACAGATGCAGTGATTTTGTAAATGACTACTTAACTTGGGAGGGACTGGAGAGAATTATGCTGAGTGAACTAACTCAGTCCCTTAAGGACAAATACGATACAAGACCATTATTGTACAACGTATATGAGGGTCCAAGGGTGGGGGGAGGGTGAGACCAGAGGGGTGAGGATGGGCCTGGTGTGGGGGTGTGGTTAATCATATGGTTGCACAATTTGATGGGCGGAGGGAAAGGTAGTTAAAGGAAATGGGAAATATCCCATTGTATACAAACTTTGTAAGTAAACCAATATAAAAGAAAAACTTTTTAAAAGAGTAAGGTGCAAAAAAATTTTATTGCAATTTTTTTTTAAAACCATGAAACATTGAAATTTTATAGGCGGCTCTTACCTAGTGATATATCAAGCATTGGTATGCATGTTGCAGTGTTACCCCTTGATCAGTAGACACTAACTGGCTCTTTTGTATTTTCTAAGAGGTGGGCCAAGAGACCTACTCTGCTGTATTGCATTTGGGCGATTGTTAGATCTTCATAGACTGTACAGTGTGACTTGTGGAGGCCAAATGGTACATTCTGGCTTTAAATATATTTTTGCTGTAGAGGTTTTGAAGCCATTTTTTAATATTGATTTTGAAAATATTTGACTCCAACTATGTAATTCAATTTATGGGAAGGTATAATTTCTTGGCAAACATTTTGATTAGTCAAGAATCATTGGTAAATAGGGACATATAAGCCATAATCTGATTTATGTTTAACCTTAAACACATAGGTTATTATAGGCTCATATAAAGCTTGTCAGGCCTAGGCACCATTCTTATGGCCTAATGCATAAAATAGTCCTTTTATTTTTTTTTAAAGGACTATATGCAGTTTCTGCTCTTCTTTGATGCTAGCTAACATATTAGGGAGCTCTGGTGGCCCAGTGATAAGAAGATGGACTGTAAACCCAAAGGCATACAGTTCTAATCTACCAGTTGCTCTGTGGGAAAAGGATAGGCAATCTCCTCCTGTGAAATTTAGTACCTCTAAAAACCCTCTGTAGGGTCAACTGTGCGTGACTCAGTTCTGACTCGACCTCATACAACAACAGCTGACATAAACTCCAGTAGAACATTTTGGGACATAATATCAAAGTTAAACAGCAGAATATAAATTTCCCGAAAAGCTGATCTTTTATAATAAAAATTTCTGGAAACTTAACATTGTTAACATATGTAGTTATGGCTAAGCTAAGTAGAAGTATGTAAGTGCATAAATAAGAAAACTCCTATCAATTAACCATGTAGATGTTAACCTGTAAACCATTCGGCATCTGCAGCCAAGCAACGAAAGATTCTTTCAAATATTTATAAATTCTAGTATGTGCTCCTTTTCACATCAAATAGTTTGCTAGCACCTATCACATACACAGCTATCTATGCCTTATTCCAACCAAGGTTGACTGTTTAATGACTAGTTGAAGCCCTTCTATATTATAGTCTGTTGGTAGACTGTTGCATTTGCTTCAGGAACTCTGTCCTTCAGGAATAAAATTCCTACTAGGATTAGCCTGATCCAGTGTACCCAGACAATAATCTTTAATTTATGGCAAACTAAATATATAAGTAAAAGCACAAAAGGAAAATAAAACAAACAAATAAAACCCAAACATCACCTAAACTTCAAAGGAAACATAATATATGTAATTAAATGTTATAGTTGCCACATTCAATTCATTGCTATTAAGTCAAAATCGCATAATAACTGACTCTTCAGTGGATTCCAAAAGCTGTACATGGCATGGGAAGAGATTGCCCGTCTTTCTTGCTACTGCGGGATTTGAACCACCAGTGAGACATGGCCTTTGGATTAGCAGTGCCACTCCTTATAAACTAGGCCATCGGAGCCACCTTGTTGCCACACTAAAACAAGTAAAATGAAATAGGCAAAAGTAAGTAAAAGAATTAATTTTAACTGAATATATCCAAAATACTGCTAATCTAAAATGTTTAATATTGATTATGCAAAATGTGATTTGCATTCTGAATTTATTATACATTTCAATTCAGACCAGACTCATTACAAGTGTCTAGCAACTTGGTCAGCAGATTGAGCTCACTGCTAAGTATCTAGTATCCACCTGTGGCTACTGGCACCATATTGTACATTGTAGACCTATGTCATGGACCATTAATATTCACATTTGATCTTGCATCAAGATAACATGGCATATACCTGTCATAACACAGATATTTCTGAGTTTCACTCCAGAGACTCAGTAGGGCAGGAATTCTCTGGACTGTGTAAATAGTTAATGTACTCAGCTACTAACTGTTGTTGTTGTTATGTGCCGTCGAGTCGCCTGCGACTCATAGCGACCCTATGTACAACAGCCCTAAACTCCACTCTATCCTGTGCCAATCGCAGTCTCCGACACTCCCATCCCAATTATCCCAGTCACTGA